CAGTTCACAGAGGTGCATGGGTTTTGGAGTTGTGGTGCCTTGTGCTCATGCACTCTGCAAACATAAAACTCTGTTACAAACCACTTATCCATTAAAATTTACCTGAAACTATGCAGTTTTGATGAAGAATCCTCTTACTTAACTTCACAAAACATCTAAATTGAACTAATGTTTGCTCCTCAGCTAAGACGTTTTCAAGATCGACAGGGGCTGACAATGAGAGGGCATCAACTCACTCATGAAGATTAGTATTATAATATTAAAATGCTTGTTAAGATACCAAAATGGTCATCTAATTTGTCTCTGTTTTACATGTAAACACCACCAAGGTCTACGGCACGCATAATGATGATGTTCATTTGATGTTTCTGGCTGGATAAATAAACAGACTGACTGGTCTTTCAACAAATTTAATATTAAGAGATGAGATTGTTGAGTTTTGAGTAATGTGCAATGTGTTTGACTTGTTTTGACCCCTGCTGCCACCTCACTCCCATTGTGTAATTTCTTTTACAAATCTCCTGCATTTCAACACAGCTAGCTGACTCATTTACCAAATACAAAGAGCTGAAAATGTTCTCTGTTGTTCAGGGGATTATTTGACAAGCACGCTATTAGATTGAGACATATAACATGTCCAAGTGTATTAAACATAATATGTAGATCCAGTCTGATGTCAGCAACCTTTGCATGATCCCATAAGGAATGATGGGAAGCTATGGACAATTCCATATGAAAAGTATCCATCAAACGGTTTTTGCAAGGAACCAGTTTTGAACTTGTATCAACATTTATTGGATTGTCTGTTAGGCACAAGGGCAAAAAGTCATGCTCTACAAATGTAGAAAACCAGTTTACATTTACAATTTGACTATAGCAAAAGTCCTTACTAAATAATTGAAGAGGATGACAAAGCTCTTCTGGATATTTGATGTTTTTTCTTTAAAAGGGTTCAAAATAACATTAGGTCTTACATACTGCTATTGTAGCCAATTTCTTAAACTTGATAATGGTATATAGGAGATATGGGTAATTTATTACTATTAATAAGGTATTAAAGATTATTACAAAATAGCCTCCAAATGAGATTGATAGTTAGCCCCTTAAAAGCCCAGGCTTATTACATACTAAGGCTTATTATTAAGTAAATACATGGACTACAGTGGTAATTGGCATAACTTATTCTTAGGTTGTAGGTGTGTGTAGTAAAACTTTGGACTTGCTGGTGGGTCTTGGCCTTTTAAGGGGTTAACCCTATAGAGACAGTTGATAACAATAAGACTAGCATAAATTTTCACACTATCTGAAGAAAATTTGATTACTCAAATTTGGTGGTGTCCTTTCATAGCTGTTAGAACATCTGTGATACAAAACAAGATTAATAATAAAGCAGTTGGTAAAAAAGTAGACATATGTTTATAGAACAAGACAACTGTGTACAAAGTAAAATAATCAAACTGAAACAAGGCAATATGAGCAATCTAAAGTAGTTCTATCACACTGCCTGAATGAAAACCAAAAGAGCAGGAGTAGTTAACAGTTATCATTTGATTGAGCATACTACAGGGATCCATTTGTCTGTCTAAAGTTGACACCAAATTAGATTCTAGAGTGTTTACAGCATCTCAAGACCATGCCTATCATGGAAGAAAAGCATAGAGAAGCTTATACACTGATCAGACATAACATTATGACCACTTCCTTGTTTCTACACTCATTGTCCATTTTATTGTAGTTCTACAATTACAGACTGTAGTCCATTTGTTTCTCTGCATACTTTGTTAGCCACCTTTTACCCTGTTCTTCAGTGGTCAGGACCTCCATGGACCCTCATAGAGCAGGTACTATTTGGGTGGTGGATCATTCTCAGCACTGCAGTAACACTGATGTGGTAGTGGTGTGTTAGTGTGTGTTGCACTGGTACGAGTGGATCAGACACAGCAGTGCTGCTGGAGTTTTTAAACTCCTCAGTGTCACTGCTGGACTGAGAATGGTCCACCAACCAAAACTATCCAGCCAACAGCGTCCTGTGGGCAGCATCCTGCGAAGGACTAGAGGATGACCAACACAAACTATGCAGCAGCAAATGAGCCATCGTCTCTGACTTTACATCTACAAGGTGGACTGACAAGACAGGAGTGTCTCATAGAGTGGACAGTGAGTGGACAGTGTTTAAAAACTCCAGCAGCACTGCTGTGTCTGATCCACTCAGATCAGCACAACACACACTAACACACCACCACCACATTAGTGTTACTGCAGTGCTGAGAATGATCCACCACCCAAATAGTACCTGCTCTGTGAGGATCCATGGGGGTCCTGACCACTGAAGAACAGGGTAAAAGGGGGCTAACAAAGTGTGCAGAGAAACAGATGGACTACAGTCTGTAACTGTAGAACTACAAAGTGCACCTATATAGTAAGTGGAGCTGATAAAATGGACACTGAGCGTAAAAACAAGGAGGTGGTCAAAATGTTATGCCTGATCGGTGTATATTCAAGCCTAAAAGTGTGTGCTTGGGTTCAGTGATTTAGACTCAGCCTGCAGCTTCATCAATGATCCATCTTTCAGGAATTACAACAAATTGAAAGAGGTTCCAATCCAAATGTTTGCTTTATCTTGTCTTGTGACAAATACAAATTGGACTGGGTTTAAAATGGGATCAGCCAAAAGGTCAGACTCAAAAGCTCTGGCTCCAAAGATTGCAGAAATTGCATGAAATGGCATACAATAATGTAAGTGTAAATATCATGATATTACTATGAACTCTAAGTGTACATAAGAAAGTCATGATATTTTTGTAAATATTCATAGCAACATCATTCTGTTTACTCATGGTGTGATTTGCATCTGCCCTAAAAGTAATATCCACAATGTCTTTATTTCCAAAGTGGTGGTCAAATCTCAAGGTGCATAACTTGACAAAATAATAAACAAATAAATAGATAATTAAACTGTGTGATTTATCATTTGATACTTTCTCAGAAAACATGAAATAGTGAATAAAACATTTGAAATACCTTAGGATAAAATTTTTAGTCTACAAAATATTAAGTCATACTGTATATAAATTAAAAAATTGATACGACAAGTGTATATTTTTAAACTGTAGCACTTGTTACTAATTGTTAATATACTCAATCCCCCTTTGATGTATTGCTGTTCAAAAAAGATCATCAGAGAGGAAGTGGTAAAACAATTCAAACAAGTATAAATGAATAGTTTGTCATTTTAGTCTTTTTGATTTTTCTTTGACCCTGCTTACCCTGATATCTAATGCTCAGTTTCCACAATATAGAAGAGTTAAAAGTAAAATTTTCAGATTGCTTCCGCCTTGTTAGGCAAGCCCTCTCACCTTTGCCAAGGGTAAACATTCATAACATTTGCAATGTCACTGAGTGGAGGATATTCAATTAGTCTCGAAAGCCTGTAGTAGGAGATACATCCCCACTCAAAGGCAAATCAATGGAGCTCCTTGAGCTTCAAAAGGGTCTAAAAGCTTCAAAAGGAAGTGTACAGATGAGGCACTAGTTTCGCAGCATAAGGTCTGGGTATTTGATGAGTCAATCTGTTGTCACAAGGACTCTCATGACAGTGTCTAGTGACCTATTTCGTTATTATTCTTACACAAAACAGTTCCTACAACTAATACAACCACAACTCATGACCAAATATCCAAATAATAACCAGTGCTGACTATGTGAATTGCCTAAATGGAATAGGATGATCAGCATCCATACTTGAAAATAGGTCTCTTTTGTGAATATGCACTGAAATGATCTCTGTAATTTTGGGAAGGATGCAAACAAATCACTGATTATTGATTTCAGGGTTAAAATTATAATCTGAAATCTGACCTGGTTGTTTTTATGTTTAACTGGTAAGTAGGCTACTAACTGGTAAAACTTGCATGTAGAATCAAACGTGTTGTAAATGTAAGTGATTTTTTAAACATTTGGTTCCTGCAATACAGCATGGATTTTAAACATTAGAAAAACAAACAAAAAGAGATATACACTGTTACACTTAAGCCACCCAAAGAAAATACACAGAAAAGCCTATATTGTCCCATATAAATTCAAAACAGTTAAGTCTTAATTCATAAAATCACTTTTCAGTTTTATCTGTCTAATGTTTGTGGTCAAAAAATAACTTGCCAGTGTCTGACACAGCATCTTTTTGACAATAATATTTATTGTGATGCATATATTTTTATGTATTTTATGTACACTTAACCCCACCTATTACCTAGCTGTAACACTTAAACTCCTGCCATTTTCAGCCAAAGTGTGGTAGTTCTCTTGCTGGCAGCATCATGACACGTTTTTCTGTGAATATGAACTTTAGTATGCAGTAATGCATTCTGTCTAAAATGGATTTAAAGAATGATTTTTTCAGTCAGAAGAAACAACTTTTGGACTAAACAGTTCATTTGGACTAAAATCATTCCAGCTCACCCCAAAAGGTACTTGGTGGGCCTCAATCATACTAGAGAACTGGGGGCTTTATACTGCCCTAGCTTAAGTTTGGCATTGGGCATGGTGACCTTAGTCTCATAAGTAGCTGTGCCAAAGAATTCTGTCCTATTGGTAATGATTTTCTGAGGAGATCAGAAACAGCACATGCATGTTTGAACACCTGTGTCAGCCATTCGTGCACCCTAAAGTAGCTGAATTCCCTAATTCTAAAATAATTTCATTAGAATATTAGCCACTTTGCACACGTGTCATCATTTAGACTAAATTTAATCTAGTTATTTCAAAATGTGACCAAACTACACAGTGCAGTTATTTATTGGATGAAAAGTACAAATATGTTGCTGTTTAGTTTATTATTTAAACAATCATTCTCAGCATCATAGCGAGAAAAAAAATTTGTCCCACTTTAGATGATGTGCTATTTTATCAAGTCACGCTACATTTAAGCAAACAACTGATGACGCTTGTGTTTAATGATTAGGCTTCAATATTGAGTAACAAGAGAAGTTCCTGATCAAAGGGCAACTTCAAATAGACTACAAAAGGCAAACTGACTGTGTGGACTTGGGTAAAGCCTTAAATAGTAGAGTATCTGTTACTGCTGCATAATGTGGTGTGGAATTTTCTTGATGATGTATTTCCTTCTTCCCCTACTAAGTAAGTGGTGTTAATATATGAGCATTATTTATTATTCCTCAGTTTATCTGAGTTTTGATGCCACCTAAATCTCACTGACAATCAAGTTTTCCTCTTATATGTTAATATTATCCTCTGTGTAATATTATCTGCAGTGGCACCATTACATGTTATGGGCGAAATTATCACTGTTAAGCCAATACTTGCAAATGGCACTTATTTAAACCCTGAGCTTGGGAAGTATCATGCCAGGTTGAGAACTCTCAGTCGAAGCTGCCTGGACATCAAAGAGAAATTTGGAGTCACTACTGGTGAGTTCTCTCTTGGCTTGACATTCCATCTAAACAACACATTTATATTTTAACAAACTGCCTTTGGTGTACTTGACTGCCTTACACAAACCACAATATTGTTCTTCAGATGGCATATACTACCTAACAACTGCTAATGGTGTGACATACCAAGCATATTGTGATATGACCACTGCTGGGGGTGGCTGGACGCTGGTAGCCAGTGTGCATGAGAACAATATGAATGGAAAATGCACTTTAGGTGATCGCTGGTCAAGCCAGCAGGGTAGTGACCCCAAACGACCCAAAGGTGATGGAACATGGGATAACACTGCAACATTTGGCACTGCAGAGGGTGCTACCAGTGATGACTACAAGGTACACTATCATTACTCACTATAATTAAGCATGGAACCCATTTTCAGAATCAGTGTAGACCCTTCCGTATCAGTCAAAATAATCACAATGAATTCAAATGTTGAGCTGAAGAGCTATTTAAATTGTGGCCATCTGTTTTAGAATGTTTCTCTAACCTGGCATTGTCACTTGTTCAACATATTGGGTGTACAACATGTTGGCTCCTGAATGGCTGTTCATATATACATAGCATTTGCTATGTAGTGAATTGACTGGGAAATAGAACCACTAAACGATCTGTAATTCTAACAGTAGTACAAAATGGCTGAAACATAGTGTACATATAGTGTGCATTGGGGAGTGAAGCAGAGTGCAGCTTCAGTCTTACCACCTAGCTGACAGTACAATATTTCAACCTCACAGAATCCTGGTTACTATGACATAATTGGAGAGGATGTATCAGTATGGCATGTTCCCAATGATGTCCAGCTACAAGACTGGAGCAAGAGCTCTATCCTACGCTACCATACTGAAACCAAGTTTCTCAAGGACAATGGGGGAAACCTCTACCACTTATTCAAGGTAAAGCATTCACATTTAGTGCAGTCATACACCAGTGGTTGTACTGTTTTTCACAGGCTCTTTTAAATGACTTATTTTGTGCTCTTCTGGATAAATGAAAACTAAGTGCATAACATGATTCTAATATATTAATCTTGTGCAACTTTACAAATCTAAAATAATTAGCAGGACACTAGTAAGCTGTAAATAAAATGTAAAAATGTAAAAAACAAAAACTAACAAACAAAAAAAAGCCCAGAATGAAGATTCTAAAATGACTGAGAAAGCTGTGTAGAGCATAGAGAATTAAGTTATAATAAATGAGATCAAACCTAAAGGCAGATTTTCAATTACATTGAAAATAAGGTACATAGATAATTATAGTTTGTCACTTATCATTTAATAACTTTCCTGTTTTGCCTGTTTATGGAATTCCTGAAATATTTAAGAAAAAACAAATCTCAAAAAAAAGTTCTACATAAAACCCATAATGTATAAGTTATGATTGCATACAAAATAACAAAAAGGCTTAATATAGCAAGTAATTTCACACTTTTGACTGTATTGTATATATTTATTTTTCAGAAATATCCAGTGAGGTTTGGATTAGGAGAATGCAATAAAGATGCTGGGCCTAGCAGTCCAGTGGTGTATGATACCGGGGACAAAGAAACAACAAAGAACTTCTATGGACCAGATGTAAGAGGTATGCACTGTATGTTTTTAGTAGGAAGCTAATGTGACAACAGTTGCCATAATACAATGCCATCATGATTGGTTAAAAAGATGTGTTTATGTACTTTTTATAGGGGGAAAGAGAAATAACTCCGCAAAACTACCCAGACTGCCTGATCCCAGCACCTGGGTAGAAAAAGTTATGCAGCATTTTTTGAGTGTGATGCATTTATGTCTGTGTTTACATTAGATCAGTTTGAGTCTGGCTTCGTCACCTTCAGAGTGTTTAATAAGGAGAAGGCAGCTATGGCTATGTGCTCTGGGATCAAACCAACTGGATGCCATACTGAATACGTAAGCATTGTGATTTAAAGTTCCAAGTGTTGCATTGTTCTTTGAAGCACTGGCATGTCTATATTAAAGTAACACGTCTGCAAGGTGTTGGCTTAATCTAAATTTGAGCATTTCGCAGTACTGCATAGGTGGAGGAGGACACTTTCCAGAAGCAGCTCCTCAGCAGTGTGGGGATTTCACTGGCTTTGACTGGAATGGAACACACTCCGGAGAAAGCGCATCCAAGGAAATTACAGAGGCATCAGTTCTGATCCTCTATCGTTAAGAGTGTGCTTTTTTTGGTACATTTCTAAAATCTGAGTGCCAAAAGTCCAATTTCTAAAAACCTACCAATAAACAAGCTGATAAAAGAATGTGTTCTGACGTTCTTCTCATCATCTCCCCAAGAATCACACATTCTGCTTTAAATTGTCCTGGTCCTGTAAAAATTAATTATATATTTTTTTCAGGTAACATTTGCATTTTTTGTTCCATAAATGCAAACAAATATCATATATGCACCTCAGGCAAAATGCAATACAAGAAAAGTAGGGTGCAGCTCCTAAAAACAAAACAGAATAATTACATTCAGAATCAATGGAATCAATCGTTGTTTTCAATATTATAATTTAAATCAAATGTGAAGAAATGATTCAAATATGCCCACCCTGTACAACTTTAAATGGTTCAAATTATCAGCAGGAAGAAAAAGAAGTGTCCAGAATGACGAATAAAGCTGTAGATGTTTCCTTAATAGTTCAGAAGGCTGTACAGTGCCAAGAATACTGTTATAATAAAATTAATAAAAAGAATGCTTCACATTTCTAACATGGTGATTTAATTGCAAATACATAATTCTAGTAAATAATTTATCCTGACTTAATAATGAAAAATAATAATACACAATAAAAAGTCCATATCATGTGCAGGTTACAATTGTTAAATCTACACAGTATAAATTCTTATTGTGTATACAATAACAAAAATGACTAATGTGGCAATTTTTGAACAGTAGTACCACCAACTGTTTACACTGCTCTTTAGCACTTGCTGTTTCCTCCACAAGTTTTATTGTCCTTCATTACTTGATGATACATGCTACTTGAATTCATCTTATGTTAGTAAAACACATAGTTCTTCAAATGTAGTGGAGAGTGTAATCAGCATAGCAATGTTTGTCAGATCAACAGATTTCATATATTACTTTGGAGAGCAGGTGTTTAAAATAATAGCCTTTTGTGTTTTTAACACAAATTTATATACATGACAGCCTCTAGTTCTCTCACTCCTTCCTACCCCTCCAATTCCCAATTTTTAGACACAGAAAGCTGTTAAAAAATATTAGAAGTGCTAATATATACTGCTTTTGTGAGACTCCCTGGATTGTGTCAGCTGTTGATGAGGGACACTGCTATTGTATTGATACACACATTATTTCAGGAATAAAAAGATCAATAATATTCTTTCCAAATCGCCTCCTCTTTATTCTCATCACTGTAATCCAAAAACATTTATGAAACTACTCAACCACTGGATCATCTATTCACAGCATCTTATTTACAGAGCTGTAGTTTATAATAATATAGAAACAAACTTCGGAATACATTGTAATGAACTGCTCAGTTTGTTTAAATTAAATATATTAAATTAATAAAAAATTAAATACCTTCAAATAAATGGCTCATCAGTGACATATCCTAGACCTAGGTTATTAGGAATAATTAAAAAAAATAATAAAATAAAATAAACTTTTGTTATCAGAACAGAATTCCTGAAACATTGCCTCAGAACCCCCCCCAAAATGTTTTGTGTGGCACTGACATGTGTACAGAAAAGTACACTGTAGCACATAAATTGTGTCCTCACATTTCTGGATACTTATTTCTTTCTCATTTGCTTGAATGAAACCCAGATATGCTAAAAATGAACGGTATCCTGCCATAAAAATGTTTGGCGAAATATTAATTATGATATCATTAGAGACTAGGCCTCCATGACCTCAAATCAACCCTCCCAAAAAGACCAGGGCCTGCCAGCAGGCCCAAAGTTTTATTTCACTGTATTCTATAACCCAAGAATAGTTCTACCAGTTTGCATTGCATCCCTGTAGTGACTGAATAATACGCCTTAGTATGTAATAAGCCTGGGATTTTAGGGAGTTCAGCCCAACTTGTCCAGGGCTTCTACAACTATTTCTACTTCACATCACATTTTTGACCTAAAAATGCAGAGGAAAAGGGTAAGCACAACTACTAAACACACTCATCATCTTTTTTTTTGCAGATGATGCACAGTTGTCATTACTTCGCATTAGAACAGTAAGACAATCATGCAGATGTGGAAGCAATTATCTGCTATGTGGTGCAACCTCTGACTTTGTGAACTTGGCTTATTGTTTCTTTGCTTCTATGGCATACAGGGAAGTTAGAAGTTCTCCACTGATAACAGCTTGAAGTTTTTTCAAACTTGCCACAAGGAGTCAGAAATGTATAGGACCAGTTTTGAGCACCACAGTGTGGGTGTTTCACCCACTGATTGACACCTCAGACATTCAAGAACTGACTTTGTTCAAACCCAGCTTTCAGCGGGGGTTGAATCTCCCACACAAAGACAGAGCCACTTCCTCACATCTCAGCTACTGAGGTACACCAACTTGGAACCAACAGGAAGTCTCTGGAAGTGGTGGGTATAACACACACACACAGTTTTTGTGAAATATCAGTACACCAGAGAAACCACCTACAAATCAGGACACCCCTTTCTGAGGGTGCTAGAAACAAAATATACCTATTTTTAAGTTTCATGTAGCTCCCATATCCCGTTCAGCTGTTGATATTTCTGGTTTATGTGAAATTTTAGGACAGTTTCTGGTTTATGTGAATTTCTAAGACATAAAAGACACTCATTTAAGTCTGATACTACCAGCATAATAAGGACATGGTAAATGTAGGGACTATGTTACACACCTGGTCTAATGCAAATTAAGGACACAATGATAGGGTGTATCATTTACAGTTTAAAATAAAAAATGTATAGGTAGAGCAAATTATTTTCTTAAAATAAATCACTTTTGTTTCTTTACCCCAATCGTTTAATTATCTAAAAAAAACAAAGTGGTTTATTCCAAATGTTCCTGTGGCATATACTTGAAGTAACCAGTCACATAAGCTCAAAACAAGACATTTACTTTAAAACTTACGTTCAGCAACCTGAAAACAGTCTTGCCAGAAAGCCAGGGTCCGACACTCCTATTGAAATCCATTACTCCTTTTTTCGAAGTGAATGATCTGGAATAGATTCTCCACATCTGTTGCTGTTAAAGCCTTTTCACTTCACGAAAAGGCACTTCTACTGTAGAGGGTATTTCTGGAGAGTATCTAGGACACCTAGAGACATTAAGCCAGCTCTGAACCTAGTAAAAGGGAAACAAATTCTTGTGTGCAGTTCACGTGGTTTGGATTCTGGGGTGCCAACTAGAGTTTTTTTCCATGTGAAGGAGAAGCAGGATCTGAAGAACCATGACATATTTCATTTTTTCCATACTGTGATAACAGTTTGTATGGTAGCAATTCAAAAGTAAGCTTTTGTATTTGCTTTTCTCTTTATCTCATGCATTTCCACCATTTTTACCACCACAAAACAAGCCTGTATTTTTTGGCCAAGGTATTACAGTAAGCGTTCAAACAAAAACATACCTTTCAAAAGGTGCACAGGACAGGTGCTGGCGGACATACCAGTGAGCCAAATCCAAAGCAGTCTCGTTTGTTTCCCCAGTGTTATGCGAACACTGTGACCAGAAAGACTGATCAAACCGGCTGCCTGTGCAACTGCATTTTGCAGCTGTGATTCAGTCTCAGCCTCTGAAATCTAAAAATATCAAAATACCACTAGGGCATTTAAATAGTGAATATTTATCGACTTTTATCTTGAATGCAGATACACAACTGTTTAACTTACGTTAATGAGTGCATGCAAAATGAAAAATTCTATTTCATATGTGCAATGCCCTCTAATGGGTTTGCTATTGGTTATTTCTTTCAAGGCCCTGTCTTGTCGCCTTCCACCCTGAGAAGATCTCACTGCACAACCAGGAGGTAGCAATCACACATCAGGCCCTCAGTATAAAATGCTGTCATGCCCATCACTCTTCTCCGTTTTACATGGGGATGTGACAAGCTGCAGCCTTCCCAATACAGGTCATCACCTCCTCTTTCAGGTCCAGGGTGAATCGTGTTAGAGCCTTCACATCAGGGTTCCGAGATGGAGCCACAAAGCGGATAACTAACAGCAAAACCTATTAAAGGGCTTCACACATACTCCTAGAACTGGAGTGACATCTAATAACTACTGTTTCCTCTCAGAGGAAAATATACTTACCAACTGCACCTGTGACCTTGTTTCTTCATCAGCAATATGTTCAATTTTGACCTTTACATTGTCTGGCCCCTTTTGAAGACACGTCAAAAGGTTACATCAAAAATGACGTTACAATGCCACCCATCTTCGTGAGAACTTAGTACTATTTTTTAATCATGGTATTAATCGCTTTTTCCTCTCTCAAAAAATTTTATCAAAACAAAAGCGGAAAATTCTTACTTTTCCTCACAAATCATTTCAAGTAATGTATTTATTAACAGAAAAGAAATCCAAAAGCGGCCTCTCACACCAATATGAATTACTCTAATCATAAGTACCTTTAGAGTTGCATGTGAGGACTTTAGCATTAGGTGGACCCACAAAGAGGTCCTTGATTTCATGTAGACACAACCGAAAAACTCCCGAGTGGGTCCTCCATTGTCCACGGCACCCTCAGATGTTCCACAGTCATCAGTAAATTTAACACCTACCCTCTTCTCAGGTGAAAAATTGGATCTGCCCATGGCTCTGGATGCTCCATCCCACACATTTCTTCTTATGATATAGAAGCGAACAGTGCTGTCATTAGTTACTCTAAAAGCAATCTGTTCTATTATTCTCTCCAAGGTCATCTTTAAATCACTGAAACAATAATAAAAAAAATTAACAAATGCATCATAGTTGGGTAACAGTAATGGTAATAATTTAACCACATAACTATAATGTACTTTCACAGGATTGTAATTAATATTTATTAAAATCCACATAAAGTGCAAAGAGCAACAGAAGATTTTTAAGCACTGACAAACCACAAAATAACACACACTTGACATTGTTGTGGTTCAAATATATGATGTTGACACAAACAGTTACAGTACCACAGGACCAAGAACTTCCTTGATGGTCTAATAACTTAAGTGTTCTTGAATGGACAGTGCATTATTTAAGTGTCTAAAAAGTAGGGATATAATCATCTAGTACCAAGTAAATCTATTCTACTACAAAATTTATTGTAAAC